AGACTCCTAAAATGGTAGAAACTAATTTTCACTAGGTGCAGGGTGTGCTGTTAAGAGTTGCCCGCCAGCAGGGCATCTGAAGCAGCCCCACATCCTGTGTGATAGCATGCAGAGCCATGTGTCCTGTTTTCTCTCATGCACACACAGCGGGAGGAGAGAAAAAACCAGCTCCAGGGCCAGGGAACCCAGCCAGGCTGCCTCACAGCAGGATCCAAGCTGAGTTTTCATTTTGAGGCTGGGAGCCAAAATAAGATATCCTCAAAATGCATGCCTTCGCCACCACTGAGACACCCCAAGTCAACTCAAAGGGAGGATTCCAGCTTAGTTTCTCTTCCTAGGGTAATACTAAAGGTAAAGTTACACTTTACACTTAAGGAGATTTAAAACATGAGCATCTGCATGTTAAAGCTCATTCAGCCATGCTAAGTGCCCTCTGAGCAGCTCAAAGTTTGACTGCTTGAGGCAAGAGTTAACTCTTGGCTGTGCTAACTAGCTTGTGTCAGGGTAGCTTCAGTCCGCTGCATGGAAATAAAATGAGCAATGTTCAGTCCTCCAGCATCCCAGGATGCACTGCTCTAACTCCCGCCCCCCTTGTACCCCAAAGCAGGTGTTGTAGCTCCTAGTCATGCCACTGCCCACCAGTCTTTGAGGTGCAATTCAGAGCTGTGCTGCCAGCAAATTATATTAACCCTTTAAGTGTGACTGCTCACAGCATGTTCTGCTTTAACACTGCTTAAAATTTCTCTACAGTCTACGTGCAACATGTAGCTTCACCCTTACCTGGATATACGCAACTGCCCTTTTTTAACCCCATGACACTTCTTATCAGAATCAGGTATAACCCCGAGGCTGTTACGCATCTCCTGCTGTGTCCACTCAACTCAGGACAAAATCATAGAAAAAGGCTGGCACAGCCCTCTGGAAGTCATATCTAGTCCAAACCCAGCTCAAGGCAGGATCATCCCCACCCAAACCATCCCAGACACGTTCTGGTCTAACCTATTCCTAAAACTACAAAATTGACATTGTTGCACAACTATAGGGCATATTGCACAAAGACACCAAAAACACCCTCACCTGCCACTCATAAAGCAGGAGGGCAACAGGTACTGAAAGGGTTAAAACGGACTCATAGACACATAGAGACACATCAATTCAGGCTAGACAGGGCCTCCATTGGTCACATCTATTCTGACCTCCTGCCTGAGGCAGGATCAGCCCTACCCAAACTATCCCAGACACACTTATGTTCTAAACTATTAATACAACTATGCCGTCAACTCTGACACAATACAAGATATAGTACCCAAACCTGCCACAAGTAAAGCAGAGAGACCACAGTGGTCAACATCCATCTGCTGCAAAGTTTGTTAAAATACACTTAAGAGATCCAAGGGAGAGGATCATTGTTGCCAGCCTTGGCCATTTTCAAGGGGCCTAAACCAAACTACAGAACTGCGGCTAAGCAGAAGGCCCCAAAGCCTGTTTCTTAGTGTCTGTAGTGTGCACTTTTGCAGACATAACAATCAGCTTGGTCAGCAAAGTAGAGGAAGCCATCAAACACAATTAAACAAAGCACAAGACCTGGAAGGAGATAAGGGAGGACCATAGGTTAAATAATCCAAATACACTATAGCATAGTTTTATCTTAAAATATTAGTAGTAGTGATTGATGTAGCCAAATGTATTAGATGTTCTTTTGCTGTAATAAATATATTTTTGTTAAGATGCTTATATAATTTGTTCTATGACCGCTCTATGAAATATATGAAATATCAATCCCAGCTAATTAATGCCTTCCAAGGCCACAAGAAAACTAGTTCAGTTCAGTTCTAAGTCTTGTTTCCTTGAAACCAAAAAATTAAGTAAAACAAATCAGAGATCAATTATTAGAATATTAAAACCAGACATCTATCAATATTGGCCATAAGCTGGAAGGAAATTTGGAGAACTCAGCAAATTCACGAAGACCTGAAGCCAATCTGCATGCCACCCACCTCTCGAGTCTCCCCAGCCAGTACAGGTGAGAATCTATGTCAGGCTGTCACAGATAGCGAGATAGACTTTGGGATGTTTGTTTTCATGTTTTAACATGCAAGCAAGTAAAAGGTTCGGCTGTAGACCTGTTTCTGCCTCTTCTCAATGGCATACCCACAAAGGTACTTATGATCTGCGTAACAACATGCCCCTTCCTAAGGAGGAAGGCAAAACCCCACAAAGTCTGTACCAATCTGACTATGGGGTAACAGTCCTTCCTCACTCCAAACACAGTGTTTGGTCTGACCCTGAGCAAAGGGTCAAGCCCCTCTAGACACAAACATCGCTTTAAGTCCGTGCAGGAACATTGGACCAGTCACAATTCCAAGCCTGGTTTGCAGCCAACACCCAACGCCTCTGTGAAAGGTTTAAATAACTCTGACACATGTAGCAGCAGGGGGGTGAAAATTCCCTCTAGGGCCCACCTGGCAACCAGCAAAGCCCAGAAGCCTGGGAAATACCAATAATACAATATAAGCATAGTACTAGCATAGTACCCATAATACTCCCCTAGGTATGAGAAAAGACTGGCATGGTATGGGCATGTCCATGGTATGGGCATGTTCAAAGCAGTCTACAAGAACATGTGGGAAAAGAAGCTACTGGAATGGCATTACCATGGAGAAGGGGCAGAGGAAGATTGAAGATGAGATAGAGAGATATAGTGGAGAGGGACATGGAGAAAAGGAGTTGAAGAAGAAGAGATGTATGACCAAAGCCAGTGGAGAGCCAGGATCCACAATAGTGACCCAGTTTAGATGGGACAAATGAAGGGAGAAGAAGGAGACAGAGACAGAGACAATATAGGCATAGCTATACCTAGGTCATTGAAAGAACCACAATGCATTTGCAACTGATAAGGTGAGGAGTTGCATGCTTCAGCTCAGTGTGCCGCTGCTCCTGCCTCTAGCCAGAAACCGACCGGTCCCCTGGCTGCAGCAAACCAAGAGGGGAGTGGATGAACAGAAATGGCATGGTGCTCTCATGAGATCTGAGCTCAGAGAACTCTTCCTGACTGTCAGAACAATGGAGCAAGTGACTCCAGCGAGGTGGTGCAACCTCCGGGAGGTGGTGCAAAATTTTGGTGCAACATTTTGCTGGAGGTCATCAAGAGGAGGCTGAATTAGGAATGGTGAGAAAATAGTTCAGCCTGCCTCTGGGCCTAGAGATGGACAAGATGACCCCTGTTCACCCTGGAAAGCTAAGAGGAGGGTTTTATAGTTTTCCTTTATTTTAATTGGCCACCAATTCAAAGTGGAGCAGGACCCAATTTGAAATGTCTCATGATGTGGAAACATGAACAAAAAGAATTTGACTTCAAAACCCAAACCAGAGGCTAGGATCCTATGCCACAGAGTCAATGACAAAGACCCAACCTTAATTCATGCCCCAATGGTATGGCAAGATCAGAGACACAATCCTAGGCCCTTAAGGAGGGCACATCGCTCTCCTCTCCTGGCATTAGGAATCCTATTCCCTAGGAAGACATCTAGCTCCTTTTGGTCTCAGTGGGAATCCTTGGCACAACCACAGCCAATTCCATCATGTTGGGGTCTGGCTGGATACGGACAGATAAAAGAATGGGTTGATGGTGTCTGGAAGGGAGGTGGGTTGCCTCTCCCCCACCCCCCCAGTTCTCCCCTCCCACAGGGGGGTCTTGGATCCCGGTGCTCCGGGGCAAGCCCCTAGGAGCACCCTCCGAGGTTATCCCCTTTGTCCCCCGGGGAAGGGTTGCCCTAGCCAGATCCCTGTTTGTGCGCTCTGTTCATGCACGGCTCGGGAGCGCGGCTCCCTGCCAGGCTCAGCAAAGAGGGATCCGGGGCCTTCCCCTCCAGATCCTCTGCAGCTGCGCCGGCTCCTGCCCCACTTACCTTTGGGGGATCAGCTGCTGCTGCCCCCGCTGTTGCTTCTCAGCCTCTGCCACCTCAGGAACGCTGCGGGGGTCACACGTGTGCTGAAAGCCCACACGTGTGCTCAGTCAGCCTCCTCTCCCTCCTACTGCACCCAACTGCACTACTGTCATCTGGCCATGTGCTGGGGGATTGATAGCAATGCATCAAGTGATTGATTCCCCCTGCAGGGGGATTGGATCAAGTGATTGATTCTCAGTGAGATCCATCTTGCTTAGCAATTCAGCTGAACTGGTGGACTGGAACTTAACCCAACTTTGGGGAGTGGAGGGGAGGGTCTGGATGCAGCTCAGGCATTAGGGACTCACCTGTCCGTATCAAGGGATGATGTCTGAAGCCCCCTGGGCGATAGGTACTTTCCTGGCTGCACTGTTCTTGGAAGCCTCCCATGGGCACTTCTCTGCATTTTTCAGTCCCCCTATACATGGCCCTGAGTCAGTGGTGGAGATAGGAGTCAGGTCCTAAACTCCTAAATCAAGCTCCTGGCTTACACAGATAACAAGTAAATGCCATACATTTTACAACTGAACAAAAAGAGAATTTCTGTGTTGCTGGCAATTTTGGAATTTCAACTGTGGTTTCTATATGGAAGAAAACCCCTGAACTATCAAAATGCTCCATAGGAATAAAATTGAATAACAGTTTAAAACCAAAACATATTTGGAAAGAGGGAAGCATGGGAAAGACACACATCTCACATCAGTCACCCAAAGACAACACCCAGGAGGCAACATAGCATCATACCAGTGTGCAGTTTAAAAGTGGAACTGACTCCATACCAAGCCATTCAGATTAACAGAACATATTAAAGTCTAAAGTCCAAAAAATCTGAATGAAATATTTCCTTTCAGTTTTCCTCACTGGGGACAGGGGTGGGGAATGTCCAATAACACTGAGATGTTTCCACTGAAATGTTTCATTTATTAGAAAGTTGCATCTTCCATAATGGGGAATTCTTGATCCTCGTCCAGGTGGTTGACTATCTGTTTTGTTATCATGGGGATGGGTCATTAGATGTGCTTTATAACTGCATTGCTTCTCTTCCTTTTGCAGACTTGGACGTGACATGGAATAACAGCAGTGGGTTCCTACCTATGTGCCATGCCCTCCCACAACGGTACCAACCTAAGCCCATCTACCTTCATCTTGGTCGGCATCCCTGGGCTGGAGTCTGGCAGATCCTGGATGGCATTCTTGCTCTGCTCTATGTACATCATGGCGGTGGCAGGCAACAGTGCGGTGCTCTTCATCGTGAAGATGGAGAAAAGCCTACACATCCCTATGTATTTTTTCCTGTGCATGCTTGCTGCCATTGACCTGGTGCTGTCCACTGCTACCATGCCCAAACTCCTCTCCCTCTATTGGTCTGACATGAGGGAAATCAGCTTTGGTGCCTGCCTCATCCAGATGTTCCTTGTCCACAGCCTCTCTGCTGTTGAGTCCTCTGTCCTGCTGGCCATGGCCTCAGATCGGTACGTGGCCATCTGCCACCCTCTGAGGCATGCATCCATCTTCACCAATGCAGTGACAGCAAAGATTGGGCTGGTGGCTTTGGCCAGGGGGGTGATGTTCTTTCTCCCACTACCTCTGCTCATTCTGAACCTGCCATTCTGTGGGTCCAAAGTCCTGTCCCACTCGTACTGTCTGCACCAGGATGTCATGAACCTGGCCTGTGCCGGCACCACTCCCAATGTTGTGTATGGCCTGACCACCATCCTCCTGGTGATGGGACTGGACTCATTGCTCATCTTCCTGTCCTACGTCCTCATCATCCACACGGTTCTGCAGCTGGCCTCCAGCAAGGAGCGGCTCAAGGCCTTTAGCACTTGCGTGGCCCACATCTGTGTGGTGCTAGCCTTCTACGTGCCGCTGATCGGGCTCTCTGTGGTGCACCGGGTACAGAATGGCCACTCACCACTGATCCATGTGATCATGGGGAACGTCTACATCTTAATGCCACCTGTGCTCAACCCCATTATCTATGGGGTGAGGACCAAGGAAATCCAGAGACGGATCCTGAAGCTCTTTAGGATGGAGAGCTATGGGGCAGCTCAGTGACTTGTCTTCTCCTCTTGACTTCTGTGTCTTTCTGCCTTCTCCTGTGTTTGATCATCAGCTCTTTGGGTCATGAAGCATCTTTTTGTTCTGTTCTCCCACAGTGCTTAGAAAAAAAGGGTTGTGGACTATGACTGCAGCTCATAAACACTTCTGTTGTACATATACTAAATGATGGCCTCTCCCCAAACCCGACCCTGAAGAAGCCAATAGCCATTCCACAGCAAGAATTAGTCCTGTCGTGATGGGATAATCCAACTAAGATACCAGGGAAGAGAAGTACATTCATGGGAAACTTGTGAGGTGTCAGAGACTTGAGAAGGCCAGACCCTCCTCCTTCTAGGTACAATCAACCCCAGCCCATGCACTTGCATATCTTGGGGGATTCTCTATGTTTTACCTCTTTCACCTGTTTTCCAAAAGTACTGTATTTGGACAAATGAATTTCCTTGCAGGAATGTTTCCAGAATCAGCACATTGTGTTGCTCATTCAGTAAAAATTAAAACAACTATGTAGGATCAACAGTTCACACTAGACAGATAATAAGGTCACATGGCTTCTCCCTGGTCTCCACATACCAGTCCCTCCACTCCAATTCCCCAGGTCAATCTTAGCAGAAAAGTCTCATAAGCAAAATTTTGCCTGTGACGTGTTGGTGAGAAGGATGTAGCAAATAATTTCAAATAATAAGAAAACACCAGAAAAATGCCCCTTTGCAGGTCAGGAAGCAGCAGAGAACACATATATGATGGTTTTCTTCATACCGAAGGAGTCTTCAGCTTCTCTCTCATCCACAGAATTGGCTTTCCATGAGGTCTGCAAGAAGCTCAACCTCTTGATATTGGGAAGTATGAGAGGTGCTGATTCAAGCTGGGCCGGGGGGCTTGAACCCAAGACCTCCAGGTGGATACCCACACTACTGAGCTGTAGTGGCAAATGAGGGGCAGTCCCCACCAAAGCCCTTTTCAGATCCCAAGTCTAAGTCTAGTTGTTAAAATCCAGATCTATGTTAAGGCATTTAAGTTTATTGCATGTCCACATAGGGCATGCACACGGGCTATGGCTGCTATAAAACACAATCGGTCTGCACAACTAGGCAACCACATGCATAGGGCTGTGCGTCCAGTCACAGATTTACTCTGGACACCATGCCAAAAATGCCCTGTCCAAGATCAAAACATTGCGACTTCAACACCCAGGAAAGAAGAGCAGGCCAGCACCGATGTCACCTCCACATTTACCATAGAGTAAACTGAGTTTGCCCTATAGCAAATATGCAGTGTGGCTCACCTTGACTCACTTATCGGATGTAGTCCTAGGTGACTTTTGAGGGGGGCTTGTATTGCAAGGTCACTAGCGCCCTTCTGGAAACCCCACATGAGGTGTTTTAGTAAAAAAACCCAAATAACCCCCAAATATCCAATGGGGAAAGGAAAGAAGAGACTCTGTATCTGACAGCTGCCCATTGCCTCAGTCTGTGCCTTGCTGGCAGGTCCTCAGACACCACTGGGATGGGTGAGGCAGAAAAATGTACGCAGGGCAGTTTTGAATGAATGAGCCAATTAATATACATGCCTCATGCAGTCAACATCACATGCATCCCCGTTTCGTTATTTATGTTGTAGTTTTCCTTGACCTTTTTGTACAATAAAAATGTTCAATCAAAATGAAAAGAAAAAAAGAAAAAGAAGCAGTCTCCTCTTCAATTTTTGCCTTAAACTGGGCTGCATCTCTTGGTTATATCATCCTTATACTTTGATGGAAAAAAACTGGATTCTCTTTCCAGTCCTTGGTTGCTCTGGAATACACACAGATCTCCTCCTAGCCCCAAGAGGTTGTGTCACTGTTAGTCCTTTTCCAGGGGGGACTTTGTGTGCCTGCTGTGTGCAAGGGGGATTGTGTAGATGGTCTTGGGGGATCTGTTGGATAAATGGATGCCTACAAATACAGGGGACTTGACTTGGATGTTTGTATCAAATACATCCCTCCGCATGCATTATCAATCCAGGAGGGATCGTTCTGTGCAGAAAGCACTGGGCCAGAACGGAGTCCCCAGCAGGATAAACCACCTTCAAGTGGGCTGATAATTGATCCCATTCAGCTGACCTGACACATAGCAAATGACAGGGACCTACCAGAATAGAGGAGCACACCTTACCAACAGCTAACTGAACTACCAGCCTCTCCCCAATGCTCAGCACCCAGACAAGTATCCCTGTGTCTCCAGTGCGTCACCATTAAATCATCAAATCATAGAAAATCAGGTTTGGAAGGGACCTCAGGAGTCACATCTAGTCCAACCCCCTGCTCCAAGCAGGACCAGCCCCAACTACATCATCCCAGCCAAGTTTTTGTCTACCTGGGTCTTCAAAAGCGTCAAGGATGGAGACTCCACCACCTGTCTGGGGAGCCTGTTCCAGTGTTTTAACATCCTCCTCGTGAAAGAGTTCTTCCTAATATCTAATCTCAACTTCCCTTGCTGCAACTTGAGCCCATTGCTCCTTGTTCGTCATTTACCCCAACTAAAAACAGTCCAGGTCCATCCTCTTTCGAACCCGCTTCAGGCCAGCATGTGTGTCCCAAGTGCCGTGCATGTCCATGCAGTGCACGACTGAGAAGGGACCACAACTTGGCCCAGGCACAAAGTGATGCTAAAGCTGACTATGAGCCCTGTACATGAAGCAAACCAACCTGCTCATCCAAAGCGCTGGTGAGGCTTATGCACAAAGCTCTCTGTGAACGTGCCAACAAGGTGGGGTCAATCGTAGCCCTGCACATGCCATGAACCTGAGGCATAACAGGATCAAAAGCAGTTGCTATGTGTATATAGCAATGCAGTGTATTTGCCATCCTGCCTCCTCCCTCTCAGTGCCATGGGGCCTGTACATAATGCATGAGACCGCCCCTGAGAAATGTCCTATTCTGGTTCTTTACCTGCAATCAAGGAGGAAGCTGAGGACATTTATGAGCAATGGGCCTGTTACTTTGGAGAAGAAAAGAGTGAGGGCGGATTTGATAACAATCCTCAAATCCATAAAGGGCCAAGTCAGAGAGGATGGACTTTTCTCTGCACGCAACTGGGAAGGGAGGGAGCATAGCACCAGCCGGAGCAGAGACTAAGCGTCCTGGATGCCAGATGGCACCTCCGTGCCTGCCAAGGAGACTTGACTTCAGGAGCCCTTCAGCTGTTCAAGGTAAGTGTCCAAAGGCAGCAGGAAGGTCCCACCCTCCCTTCCCTCCATGTATAAAGTGCAAAAGTCTTGGAAGAAGCTACTGTGTGGGAATCATCCCCTGCTCACGGAGTCCATCCGCTGTCCTAGGATGCTCAGAAAGGGCTGGGGGCACTGTCCAAAATGAGCCCCTCAGTATAATTGGTCCCAATGACACTTAATGAGGATTAGGAGGTAGAGCTGATTTGATTACTATTAATAATTCAGGTGGCGAATTAATTAAACCTCCATGTTAGTGCAAGAGGCTGCAGAAAAGTCTTGCAATATAGTGACTGGTAGCTTATTTTGCATTATAACATTTGCATTTATACATGTTTCCTGAAGGTTGACTTAATTAAGAGCTGGTATAAGCACAGCTCTGACAGGACCAATGTGTGAGAGAGACGGTTGTCAGCACGTTGGCTGCAGATGAAGCTGGTGGGATAGTTATAAACGCATCCGCAGCAACAAATAGCCTGCTAAATATTTCAGTATCACCTTTTCATAATGAAATTATCTGTTCCCAGCCATCAGGATCTTAATTGTCAGAGCAAATTATGCAGGACAGGAGTAAGAAAATGAGCTAAGACCAGGCTGATTAAAAATAAAATGATGAAAAATCAGGAAGAGAAAGTGCGAGCGGTACGACAGAAGGGTTTTGAGTTGAAGTGAATTTCTGCCAATTTTTCCAGCAAAACTTGTTTTGTACCATTTCAGGCATCTGGTTTCCCACAATGGCCCCCAAGCAATTTGCAAAGTCTCTGTGTGAATCGGGGAGGAGGGGGTATTTGCAAAACCCAGTTAGGTGACGAGGGAGGAAAGGCTTGATGGTCACTGCATCCACCTGAGTTTGCAGCAGCTCTTCCAGGCCTAGAGCAGAAGCTGCAGGTCCTAGATGCAAGCACTGCTTCCGATGGGGCTGTCCCATGTCTTTCCCCAGGTGCTTGCAGACTCTCACGAAGGTGGCCAGACTCAGAGCTCATTCACCATTATCCCTGGTGTCTCCCCAGCTCCTGATTCCCCTTCCTTTGCTGCATCCCCCTGGTTCTCAGGTCACACTCAGGGGCTCTGGCACTCTCCCCCCGGCAGGCAGCGGTGACTTTCTGAAGAGCCTGGCTCTCATCGCTCTGGCAGCAGGAGCCAGCACCAGCTGAGAGACTGTTAACAATCCCCCAGGGCTCCTGCTTGCATCTTGTAGTGCCAAAATACTCTTGAACATCCTTCCATGTCCTTGTCTGAGGTCTGCTCTTTGCTACAGAAAACATCACAGCTCCTTGTCTCTGTAGCTCCTCAGACAAAACCCCCAGCAGAGAGGCAGCTCTGCTGATGGAAGTGAGCTTTGGTTGTCTTCGCACGTGTCTTTCAAGGAGATAGGGTACAAAACCCTTGTGTCTGCTTTTGCTGACCCTGCACCGATGGGCTCGGCCAACACAGCTCTGTGAACCGAGCAATAATAGCTCCATAAAGTGGACAAGCCCTAAGAGAGGGCTCCAAGCAACTGTGTTCGAAGGAGCTTTGGGGCCCTAAATGTTTATGGCCAAGTCCAAAACTGGAGTGCCAGAAACCCTGCTGGACATGGTGGCAGCAATGGGGAAAGGCTGTGAGGGGTGTAGGTTGTAGCCACATTGGTCTAAGGACGTAGGCAGACAAGGTTTTTTAGGTCAATATGAGATCTTTTATTAAAGGTTGCGAGGCATGTTAGCACTGAGGTGCATCTCTGTGTGGTTCAAGCTTTGGGTTAGGGTTGCTGATGCCTCCATTCTCCTTTATGTCCTGAGCCACCTGACTATACC